CCTTTTTCGTTGACTGTGACAGGCATCGCAGGAGCAAGCATTTCGGGAATAGCTGATGCAACGGCTGCCGGCGACGGGAGCTTAGTGACTGTGCCCCCCTGACCATGAACAGCGTGATTGGGCTGAACACAGACGGCCGTGGCAGCTACGTCTGCAGCAGCTGGCTTTGCCTCCTTCTTCATCGCGAGCTCTTTGCGATACTCCTCAGCAACACGAGCGCGTTCTTTGGGAGAGGCAAGTTTCCACATATCTGATGGAATACCAGGTGGACGACTTGACTTTCGGGCTCTCACCAAACGAAAACCATCCCATTGAAACCCAGGTGGAACTGCCGACCCATCCGGCATGTGATCAGGATCGTGATCAGCAAGTCCCTCGGCAGGTGCGGGAGGATCTTCCATCAAAACCTCCTCCGGCACAGCTGCTTCGCCAGGCTGCAAATGTGACTCCGGCTCATATTCCAATTCGTCCGGAGAACACGGTTTGTCGTCGGCAATAGCTTGCTTTGCGGGAAAAACAAACGTCTCATCAAGCAGACTGAACTCATACTGCTTGACGCGGAGGGGATTAATGTCACCCGTCCGCAACTTGTCCGGCAAATTCTTGAGCGGCAATACCAAAATTTCATGCGTGTAGGTAAAGCCAGGTTGCACATGATAGCCAACAAAAATGCCGACATCCGAAGTTGGCAGAAACTTGGACTGCTTCGAATCGACGCGCTGACGATTGATCCAATACAACAATTTTGCACCAAATGGAATCTTCGTGTCAGGAAACTCATCACCAAAACGCAAAGCCCACGGCGACTTATCCTTGTCATCTGGAATTGTAACATTGAGAGCAAATGCATGATGTTGAGCTGCCAAAGGCCAAAGCTCAACCGGCAAACCACTTTGAAACAGATTTGCTCTTGCTCCCTCCAGAATTGTACGAATCTCGCGCTCGATCACCCCGGAAGATTGACTGACATATGGCTGGCTCAGCACGTGTCTCCAACCCATACTCTTTACTGCAGCTGCAATTTCGCCAGAATTGTCAGAATAGAAAATCCCAACATGATCATCTGGCTTCGTGAAATGTTGAAATGCACGAACGCAACTGTCAGCATCTTGCCTTGCTGAAGGGTAAAAATACCGGAACTGCGTGAACACATCTTTCACGACCAAAGCATTCCACTCGCCCTTGAACCCGTACGTCTCATCATTTGAAATGACGTGGTCAGCAGTCACATGATCTCCAAATGCTTTTGCATCCACCGAAGAAGATCCATGTCTGCGACGAGCCTGAGGTGCTTGCATCTTTGATCGCACACACGTTTCGCAAAAGGGGTTCTTGGGCCTGTGAGTGAAAAGATGCTCTTCACTTTTGGCCTCACGCATCATCATTTCTTTTGAACGCTTTGACATCGGTTCTGGAGCTTCCGCAACCTCAGGGTTGTCCTCCAATTCCGGATCAAACTCCGGTTCCAGTGGTTCAGCTTCATCAGGGCGCAATGGAAACGATGCGGCATCCGGCGGAGGTTGCCCCCCGCTTGAAGATGAAGGCACTTCAACGCCCCCGATCTTCTGATCGGATGCAGCAAGCGCAACAGGCATAGCGGATTCAGAAGCTATGACCTCGCACTGATCGTCAACATACGGAACTCGCCCATCGAGCTTCAATATTACCGCTTTGCCGTCAGGTCGCACAAAGTACGGAGCACTGTTCTTTCTCCATACGAAATCGTACCCCTTTTCCAAACATCTTTGACCAACAGAAAGGACAGCTGGCGTGCTCGGCAAAACATACGGCGTGACGACCTCGTTCAACTGATCAATGGAGAAGTCCGCAATCTTGTCTGCACAAATTGATCCATTGCAGGATTTATCTTCTTTTGAAGTGTAACTGCACGCTCAGAGTCAACCAGATCTTGTTCACTACCTGTGTCGACAATCCACTGACGAAGCCCTGCTGGTGCTGGCGTAGCAATATACTCCGGCACATCGTCAAGGTTCGTTTCATCATCATCAATCCAACAGCCAGGACAATACAAACCGCAATAAATTGGGTCATTGTCATCATAGTATTCGCAATAGAACCCACAAGGCGCGTTGTAGTTTGCATGCATCAAGTCAACAACCCCTTCCAGAATCAAAGCTTTGTCTTTAGCATCGATCAGATCCTTGGGATTTGAGCCAGGCGCACAACCATCATACCACACAACCTCAGGGTCATTCGGCTTTGGAGCACATGATAGGCATAGCCCGTTGGCCTCGATCTCGACGATCTCGACATTGTCTGCGAATTTGACGCATCTGCGGGTATTGGAAACATCTGTACTGCAAATGAAAATTGTTTGCCCAGTCCAGTATTGCTCCAAACCTTCATCAGGATCCGCCCAGAAATCACCAAACACTTGCTCTTTGCCATTGATGTTGGCTTTGGTGATGCGCTGATCCAATAAACGTTCCAGCGAAATCGGAAGGTCTTTTGCACTCTTCGGATCATAAAGCGCTTTTCGGGGCATCACATGGTGTCGAATGACCATCTCGTTCACCGAGTCAACTTCCCAGAAATCTTTCTTTGGGCGGCATGCTGCGAGGCATGCATTGGTCTCTTTCACCCTCAGACACACAGCGGCTGAGGACTCGCCCTTTTTGCTCTGGGATCGCTTTCTCCCTTTTCCCTTTGGGGTGGGAGACCTACCTCTGCTGGCTCCTTTCTTTGGGCTCGGCTTATCTGTTGCTGGTGCAGCAGACCGAGTCTCATGCGAAAACGCACAGTTGTCTCCACGAGTGCATTTCCCCTGACCGCCTTTGAAAAACCTGCACGGGATCTTTTTCAGCTCCGCTCTCTTTCTCGATGCCGACCGATCCCTGTCTCTCCCCTGGCTGTCAGAGCGCCCCCGACCTTTTCCTTTCGGATTTTGGCTCGGGGGTCTTGGGTCTTTCTCATGCTTGTAAATGCAATTATCCCGAGTGCACTTGCCTTTCTGAAAATCGTAGCAATACCTGACCGCTGAAGGATCTCTTGCACGCCCAGGATTTGCATTGGGAGCTGGAGCACCGACCTTCTGATTGTGAGCTCGAGCGACACGATCACGATTTGACTGCAATCGCTCCCGAGTCAAAACATCACGAACGGCTTGAACAAGAAACTCGTAGCTCTTGTCATACGACCCATCTTTTGCACGCTCGTATGTATCGAGGTCATACTTGATCTTGTGACATCCACGAATCTGTCGCAAGAAAATGTCCTTCAAGACGTGCTGCTCCGGAACGATCTTCATGCCAGCAATGACGGAATCCCAATTCTGAATAAAGGTCATCAAATCATTGCCGTGAAGTACCACCTTCAACAAATCTTCAGTGGAATACAACGCTCCGGCCTCCTCATTTGTCCTGAAATACTGCTCAAACATGAGAAGAACTTGACGTCCACGGACAACTTTGTCCAAAGCAGCTTGTTGCTCCTTGTATGTAAGGATCTGCCGACTAAGGTCGCCCCTAGCAATCCGCGACAAGGCTGCAAGAAGCTTTGTATCCAACGTTTCAAACTGCTCTGGATCTCCAAGCTCTAACATGAGATTCTTCTTGTCTTCCCGGTTGACGTACACCTTGTTAACCCAGGTGAATGCAGCGTCAGGCCGATCTGAAGCAGCCCGAATCTCTTCGCGAGTAGCCGTTTTCCAGGCTCTATAGGTCTCAGGAGTGGGAAACTCACTCAGCCTCAACGAATCAGCTTCCTTTGCTTTTGGCCGATCATGCTGATTCCGGACAAAGCCGAGGAGGGCCGCACGGAACTCCGCCTCGGTGGTCTCGGGACCGAAGACCGTCTCGCATGATCTTTGATATCAAACTGCATTGCACCAGAAATAGGATCAGCCCAACTCTGCTGTGGAATAATCTGTGGCATAGTTCCAGAAGTTTGTGCATTCTGCGTTGGAAAAAGACGCGGATCATCAAAGATACTGCCCCTCTTATCCAAAAACGACTCCGAACTGACGTTCTGAAAACTTGACGCAGGCTGAGGATCTCCGCGCACCATTTCACGCTGCGCCTTTTCGAGATCGTTCCTCAGACGCTCAACGGTGTCGTTCAGCCCGTTGATCGTGTCCTGCATGGCGTGGTTCTCCGCCAAAACACTGTCTCTCTGCTCACCGACCGCCTTTGCCGAGTTCTCCATCACAACAGTCTCAGCATGTAAGCTTTGTGCGAAAGCGCTATACTGTGCCGTTCTTTGCGACACAGCTTCGTTCACTTCGGCAGAAATTGCTCCCCGCATCTGGCTAACCTGGGCGCTGAAGAAAGCGCGGGACTCTGCGAACTGCTCGTGCAGCTCAAGGGTCCGGCGGTTGTTCTCCTCGTCCAGGCGATGCACAGTTTCCGCCAAATGAGCGCTATATTCCGCCCTTGCAGCATCCATAGCAACGCGATGTAACGTGTTGGCCTCTTCCCTAACAGCGTCACCCGTGTCGTTATGCACATGCATGATGTTCTGGGTGGCTTGATAGTTTGTCGCGAATCCGAATACGTTTCGAGGATCGCGAGGGTCGACAGGACCATTGGGTGCAACTGCACCTTCACTACCGTCACCAACATCTCTATATTGTAAATGGCAGGCATATCTCCGGATGCCATGGCGATCTTTGTACAAGCCTTTACGGCTGACAACCTGTGTTATCAAGCCTAGGCCACCTAAGGGAATACCTAGGCAAACAGCAAACCGTTGACTACCTTTTCACACTGCTGTCAGTGATCTTGAAGTCTGTAGCGGCGGAGCATGTACAAGTACACTCATGCACAGGGTTGGAACCTGAATCCACAGCTTTCGGGATGACCGGGGTCGAGTTTTTGTATATGGGGCGTCTTGGCTGGAGTCTTAACCTAAAGAGGGAACTCTTAGGACACCGCGGGGGTTCGATGTTTTGGTCGGCGCCACACCTCAACAGGCAGTGCTTTTGCAATGCCCACAGTCAGCACTAAACCGCAAAATCCACTGCAATGCCAGGGTAGCCCAGCCTTGGGCTCCAAGACGGGAGCCAGCCTGCAGAACATTGGCACATTGGCTCTGGAACCACAGGCAAGGCTAGTATTCCTGAGTGAGTGAGTGAGTGAATGAGTGAGTGGGTGAGTGGAGTGGAGTGGAGTGGAGTGGAGTGGAGTGGAGTGGAGTGGAGTGGAGTGGAGTGGAGTGGAGTGGAGTGGAGTGGAGTGGAGTGGAGTGGAGTGGAGTGGAGTGGAGTGGGGCGGGGTGGAGTGGAGTGGAGTGGTCTATCGGAGTTTAACGGAATTCAATGTCACCTGCAAGCTGTTTGAGAAAGTCACGCGCTCTCAGTGACGGACCAAGAAAAATCAGTTTGGCACTCTGCAAGCAATTTTCCTTACTGTTGACAAAAACAATCCTGCACCACCTACATGCGAACACTCTCCTCACACCTCGCGCTCCCAGCTTAACATTTCATCGAAAAGCAACACCCTCACGGCGGCGCCCTGTGACCTTTATGGGCTTTACACCCTGCAGGATTTCTTCTGTCAAGCGAACAAAGATATCAGTTTACCCTCTTCTGCATTTGAAGCAGAGACTTGGACCTTTCCAATCAGTTGCTCAGTTGCGTTGGCCAGCCCAATGCCAGCACTCAGCTTAACGCTCAGTGACACTCTTTGTCAACGCGTAGTCAACGCTACAGTCAACGCTGCAAAAAATGCTGGCAGGGGTAGTGCCCCAAACAGGTTGAAGGTTTCCAGGGGAATTTTCCAGACCCGCAGCAGACGGCCCTGCCAGCGTTTGTGTGCGTTGACTGAGTGTTGAAGCTACGGTTGGCTGGGCCTGTAGCTGGCAGTTCTAATGCAATAACCCAGTGTTGCCTGCAATCGCTTGAGCTTCAGCCGCGTTGCAGAAATTCAATGTCATCTGCAAGCTGTTTGAGAAAGTCGCGCGCGTCCCAGCGCCGGGCCAAGCAAAATCACTCTGCAAGCAATTTTCCTTACTGTTGGCGGAAAGATCCTGCACCACGTGCATGAGAACATTCTCCTCACACCTCGCGCTCCCAGCTTAGCATTGGTTTTTTGCAAGGCCGCGCGCCGAACAGCAACGAAAATCCGGCAGCACCCTTCACAGCGAGGGGGTTCGCGCCCTGTGACCTTTATGGGCTTCACACTCCGAGGCGGTGCAGGATTTCTTCCGCCAACCGAACAAACATATCAGTTTACCGCCTTCTGCCTTGGAAGCAGAGACTTGGACCTTCCCAGTCAGTTGCTCAGTTGCGGTGGCAAGCCCAATGCCAGCACTCAGCTTAACGCTCAGTCAACGCTACAGTCACGCTACGAAATCGGAGCTTCCGTCAAACCAGCAGTTTACCCTCTTCTGCCTCTGAAGCAAAGACTTGGACCTTTCCCAGTCAGTTGCTCAGTTGCGCTGGCAAGCCGGGTGCCACCACTCAGCTTGACGCTCAGTCAACGCTGAGTCGACGCGACCGTCGCCGCTACGAAAATACTGGCAGGGGCAGCGCTTCAATCAAACTCCTTCCTTCTCGAAGTTTGAAGGTTTCAGGAAAATCCTGCACCGCGTCAATGAGAACATTCTCCCCACACCTCGCGCTCCAAGCGTAACATTGGTTCTTCGAAATATACGCACGCCGAACAGCGCAAGCAACGAAAACCCTGCAGCACCCTCGCGGCGAGGGTTTGGGCTTCACACATTGAGGCGGTGCAGGATTTCTTCCGTCAACCGAACAACGATATTAGTTTACCCTCTTCTGTCTTTGAAGCAGAGACCTGGGTCTTCCCAGTCAGTTGCTCAGCCGCGTTGGCAAGCCCAATGCCAGCACTTAGCTTAACGCTCAGTCGGCGCTACAGCCAACGCTACAGCCAACGCTACGAAAATGCTGGCAGGGGCGGCGCTTCAATCAAACTCCTTCTTTATCGGAGTTAAAAACCCAGGCGAATTTTCTAAGCCCGCAACAGAAATGCTGGCCCTGCCAGGGTGTGTGTGTGTGTGTAGCGCTGACTTTAGAGTTGACTGGTTGGCTGACGTGCTGAAGCTGGCAGTTCTAGCGCAATAACCCAGTGTTGCTTGCAAACGCATGAGCTTCAACCGCGTTGCAGAAAGTCAATGCGCGCACTCAGTGTCAGCAAAATCAGTGTGGCACTGCGCAAGAATTTTTCCTTACTGTTGACCAAAAAAATCCAGCACCACCTAAATGAGAATATTCTCCTCACACCTCGCGCTCCCAGCTTAAAATTGGTTCTTCGACAGGTGCGCGCCGAACAGCGCAATCAACGAAAATCCTGCGCCGCCCTTCACGGCGAGGGGCTCGCGCCCTGTGACCTTTATGGGCTTCACGCTCTGAGGTGGCCCAGGTTTTCTTCCTCGAGCCGAACAAAGATATTAGTTTACCCTCTTCTGCGTTTTCCCAGCAGAGACTTGCACCTTCCCAGCCAGTTGCGCAGCTGCGTTGGCAAGCCCAGTGCCAGCACTCAGCTTAGCGATCAGTCAACGCTAAAGTCAACGTTTTGCAGCCAACGCCACGAAAATGCTAGCAGGGGCGGCGCTTCAACCAGATAAAGGTTTCCAGAGAATTTTCCAGACCCGCAGCAGACATGCTGGCCCTGCCAGCGTTTGTGTGCGTTGACTGAGTGTTGAAGCTACTGTTGACTGGGCCTGTAGCTGGCAGTTCTAACGCAAAAGCCCAGTGCTGTTTGCAATCGCTTGAGCTTCCGCCGGGTTGCAGATATTCAATGTCATCTGCAAGCTGTTTGAGAAAGTCGCGCGCTCCCAGCGCCGAGCCAGTCTGGCGCTCTGCAAGCAATTTCCTTACTGTTGACAAAAAAGTCCTGCGACACTATTCTCAGGCCACCTCGCGCTCCCAGCATAACACCGATTCTTCCAAGGGCGCGCGCGCCGAACAGCGCAATCAACGAAAATCCTGTACCGCCCTGCGCGGCGAGGGGGTTCGCGCCCTGTGACCTTTATTGGCTTCACACTCTGCGGCGGTGCAGCGTTTCTTCCGTCAACCGAACGAAGATATTAGTTTACCGCCTTCTGCTAGAGCTAGCAGCCACAAGAAAGAGCTCATTTGCCTGCGACGTGCACCAACGCAGGCGCACAATGGCATCGCCAGACATAGACTTCTCGGGCCCTCGTTGCTCGGAGCATTCTAATCAAGGAGAGCGAAAATCCGCCAGGGTGTCCGCGCCAGGAACTTGCAGCAGCGGAAGGTGGAGATTGCCACCCTGGAGAAGCGCGCGGTGAAGTTGCAGAGCTGGTGCCAGATGCCTAAAACTGCCAGCTCGCGCAGGCAGCAATGGTGAACGCGCATGCAAAAAGGCTTGATTACAATTACTTACATCTTTATGTAAGCATACACAGAAGATATAAGATGTCTATATGTAAATATGTGTAGAAACACACTGAGAGCTCATCCCCTTGTGTGCTTGTTGAAGTGTAAAGCGTATGCTTCTTGACGCTTTCTGTGCTAAATATGTGCTACGCTAAATTCCCAGCATCGTGTTGTCCGTCAGGCGAGAGAATTTCTCGCAGGAGTATCATGTGGCAACTGTCCGCGCTCGTCTGCTCACCTTGGCTTTCACGCGGTGGCACGTGAAAGGGCGTGCCGCGTCATTGTTCGCAAGGACTGGAGCTTTGCGCAACCGCGAAGAGGTTTAGAGGCGCGCTGCGAAGCTTGGCGCTGAAAAGAATTCAGCACTTGTGAAAGTTTTTCTCTGGTGGGAGCAAAACACAGCTGAACTGCGGCGTGATCAGCTTCTATCTTTCGCTGGGGAGTGACTCAGCCCCTCAGAGGAACCCGCCTGCTTGCATTTGCTGAAGCGGCTTTGTGGCAGAAAACGCCTGCACACCTTTGCGGAGGCAGTGTGCAATTTGTCACCGTATCCTGAAGCCCTCAGATCGTGGACGAGCTAGCGTGGCCCCCTCTGCCCCTCTTGCTTTCTTTCCAGCCAGCCCTTTTGTTTATATATATATATATGTTTACCCTCGCGCACACCTGAGCAAACCCCTGGCGCCTATGTTTTGCGCTTAGATGACTTTTGGCAGTAGGTTTCGAGCGCAGGCAATTGGGCTTGCAGCCAACTCATGGCAAGAGCAGATGATTATCTGCAATTACTTGTGGGAGTACACATACAAGATGACAGATGTGATGGAGACAGGTCCGTTTGTTTAAGCAGGGATGAATTGGGGGGACGCATGGGGCTTGCAGTTGGGCTGGGGTAACTTGCGCTGAACAAGATGGCACATGACAGGCTAGTTTGTTGGCACGAGTTGCGTTTGGTTTGACAGCACATGAAGGACATACGACAGCCTTCGAGAGTAGAATGAGTCGGCGCAGCTGCCCACAAGTTCCGCACAATGCTCGCAATTGCGATCTGATTACGCCGGTCGAAACCCTGCGTCGCCCACCTGCACATGGTACCAGCGGCCATCCGCAGATGTTTGTTCCTGCGTCAGTACTCACTGAGAACTACCGGTTTCCTCCTCAACAAAGCTGCGCCCTTCATGAATCTGTCAATGAGTTGGGCGACGCGCTTGGACACCTTGACGTTGGTCGGCTTTTGCCAGCCGGCCGGTCTTGCCGTTTTGCGTTTGACCCGCTTCTTCTGGGTGACAACGAAATAGTGCTTCACGTCGGCTCTTCTCAGCGTGTGTCAGCATAGCTTCTTACATCCTTGTCCTTCAAGTGCTTTGCCACCAGCGGTCTCCACTCAACTTTGCGGACCGCGCCTTGCCAGGCGCCCGACGCTCTGCTGCCAGTGATGGCTCATGTGATTTCAGATCGGCCAGCCTTTGCCATGTCTGCCCTGCTGCAGGCGTCCTGCAACTTGCGGCGTCCCCGAATTTGACGAGCTTTCCGCGTCGCTCCGCGGCAGATGTTCCGGAAGTCCTTCTGGCGCGCTGAAAGAACACATCTCGTGCGCCGCGGGCATTGCCTTTCCGATTTGGAAGTAGCCCGTCTGCGACCAGCTTGTTGATGATTTTGCTTGGCAGTGGCTTTGAGCAGATCTGGAAGGGTCCCTGACCCTTCCGCGCTCGCCCTCTATCTGCAGGCGCATCTCGAATATGGCTCGCTGAGTGGTACTCCTTGGACTTCTTTCTGGCCGGGCGCTGTTGGACAATCTGCACACCTTTGCTTCACTGACAGGAGTGTTGAGCAATTTGCACGCAGACAACCATTTCATGGATGCACTGCCTCATGGACAGCTGCAAGGCATCGCTGGCAGAGCAAGGGTTCACAAGTGCTACAAGACAAGCTTATTTTGGCCACATCGAAAATGGAGCCCGCCCGCGGTCGCAGATATCACCAAACATGAGAGCATCAAAGCAGCTCGACATACTTTAGTTTCTTTTGCACGCTCAGTCAACGCTCAGTCAACGGTCAGTCAATGCTACAGTCAATGCTACAGTCAATGCTACAGTCAACGCTACGAAAATGCTGGCAGGTTGGCTCAGTGTTGACTGAGTGTTGAAGCTGCGGTTGACTGGGCCTGTAGTTGCCAGCTCTACTGCGATAATCCGGTGTTGCCTGCAATCGCTTGAGCTTCAATCGCGTTGCAGAAATTCAATGTGCTCTGCAAGCTGTCTGAAAAAGTCGCGCACCCTCAGCGCCGGGCCAAGTAGAAAAAAGAGCGTGGCCTCTGCAAGCAATTTCCCTTACTGTTGAGGAACAAATCCTGCAACACTCTCCTCACACCGACAGGCACGCGCGTCGAACAGCGCAATCAACGAAAATCCTGCACCACCCTGCTGTTCAACATTGAATTAGGGGCGAGGGGTTTGCGCCCTGTGACCTGTGTGGGCTTCACACTCTGACGAGGAGCAGGATTGCTTCCGTCAACCGATTACCTGATGTTGACTATGTCAGTTGAATACGTCGGGATAGGACAATGCCGACGCTGCCTTTATGAGGGGGCAGGGCGCTTTTGGAGATCCCAGTCTCTCAGCAAGGGTGCGTGCAACCACACTTGCAGGTGTGAGATGCTGAGCTGGATTTGGCTAGCTACTCCAACCATGCTTTCCTGCGCACAGGGGTCTGTACTCGTGTTCAGGGTTGGTTCCGCACTTCGTCCGGCTATATGTTGGTTGATAAAATGCAGTCCAGGGTTTGGCTAGAATGCGCCGGCACCCTAATAAAATGCGGACACCCACGCCCCAGAGAAACAAAAAGGCCAGGCTGAGCACCGCATTTTATCCAGGTAAAATGCACGTCGTGGGCCATAAGGCACTTTAGCCTTACCTATTGCCGTTTTTTGCTCACCTCTATCCTGACTGCCATCTGGTCGCAGCCTGAGACCCAGATCCCAGGTTCAAACCCGCCTTTCTCTTGGATTGGCCAGCCCTCCATATGGCAACTGGGCAATCTAGGAACACTGCCAGGTTTGAATCGCCTTTTTCCTTTTGCCCTGAAAGGGGTTCCTTTGTTTCCCTCTTCAAGCAGGCGAAGAAACACTTACACCCATTTTCGCTGCCCTTTTGCCCTTTTAACCTTTGGATTGCTTCGCAAGCCTTTTCCTATACCAGCAGCAGCTGGGCCGGCAAAATAAGCTGAGGTTTTCACAGGGTTGCTTAGGTTTTGGCGACTTGGGGTTTGAGGAGCGAAGCACTTCACGGTTTCCCCGGTCCATTATTAGTCATGGGCCCGATTCCCCTGCAAATGCCAGCAGGCAGTGGTTTGTGTCAAAGTGGCGCAAGATTTCGTCCATCTACAGCATTGCACGGATTTCGTCCATCCACAGTATGTTACCTCTGGGTGGTTTTAAGTATCACTTATCCTTTTCCCTGTTTCCTTGAAAGACCCTAGCTGGTCCGCTGGGTTTTGGTTGCCTCGAGGGGCCCTGGGCTACACGGATGGCATGTCCTATTTTAGGTGCTAATCCCTTCAGGATCGTCAGCCAAATTGGGTCCCTTTGGGCATGGATGGGGGCAAGGAACCCGGGCCACCCCTCAACAAGGGTATGAACTTTCTTAGCAGACTCATATATGTCGAAAGGCTAGGGGCGATTTTCGGTATCGGGTGCTGTGTCTTGCTGCTTTGACCTTGTGTGGCCGGGCCCCTCCACCCCCCCTAAAAAACATTGGCCCACGTTGCCACCGCACAATTTCAGCTGATAAAATGCGACGTGCTAAGGTGGCTTAGAAAACTTGGCCTGGATAAAACCGACGTGCTTTCTGACGCGTGATCTGTTTGCAGAAAGTGATGCCAAGCGTCTCCATCAGAATTTTGTCCTTTATCTTGATGCTGACCTCAGCTGTCTGCAGTCAACCCAACTCATCAGCACACGCAGCTCTAAAAAAGGGACCCCGGCAGGTGATTTGCAAAAGGGGCATCTTGTTATGAGACAGACCCTTAGATTCCTCATCCATTTCTCCTGAGGGCAGAACCCAGCCGGTGTCAGGCCCTTCGCCCATCAACTTTGCAAAAGAAAGTCGATCTCCAACCAGCGAGACCTGTCAAGCGGTCTTCTGGAAGTGTTTAGAGGGGCCAAGTGTTTAGCATGTGTGGCATCTAAGAATTGGTAGAATTGGTGCAACTGCGACCCCAGGCTGATCTGATGCTTGGGTGCCGGATTGAAGGAAAGCTTGAGGCACCGTGTCAAGCGCTCATGGATCAGGCTAAGTTGGAGCAAATTCTGCCATACGGACCATACGGAGTACATGTGCAAAAGCAGTCAACTTACAAGCCCAACAACTCGCAGTGAACTTACAATGCCTGCCGCACCAGGGCACCGCGAGCCAGCCGCGCTGAGGCCTGCTCACATTGGGATTGAGCGCCAAGGAAGAATATGGAAGAATATGGAAGAATGTGCTTCAGCGAACAACCTGACGAGGCTGTCTCCAGCGAAAGCCCCGAAGCCTCCGGAGAGCTCAACTCCTTCCAAGAAGCAGCCGAGAACCGGACCGAGGGCCAGAACCGGAAGCATGTCAATGCAATATGTAAGATTCCCTTCGCTGCATTAAGAAAACCATTGGCTTTTGAAAAGGTGAAAGAGCAGTCAAGGTACCAGCCTATCTCTACTAAGCTGCACCTAATCCAGAACGGGATCAATAGTGGAGCAGTGGATGTTAAAGGAACTCATGATGCACCGGGTAGTTTCTTGAGCGTCACAAACCCTCACTTATCAGTATTGAAAAACAAAATTCACCCCAGTGGTCAATCAACATTGTTTAATCAATCATGGACTTGCATCTTGGGAATTCATCTGTGAAGGCCATCGCTTTCACACGCCTTTGCAAGCATACTGAGATGTCTTGGTGCGATGAGTTCCATTCCGAATAGAACGACCCCAAGGCTGGCTCCTGACCCTGCCGCACCAGGATGCCCTTGTCTGCACCTCTGGCGCTCCGGGTTGGACCCTTCCCAGGAAGAACCTCCGCTGTTCTTGCACCTCTTCAACTTGGTGGCATTCCCGCGTTGAAGACTTTCAGCCGCTCAAAGGACAAGACAGGCAAGCACATTTCTAACCCAAATCCCTAAACTGAACCCCGCGCACGTCACAAGAGCGCGTTTCTCGCGTGGCCTCCGACCACACACCACCGCTTCTCTGGCAGCGACTCCATGAGCTCTGCGTCCAGGTCACAGCAAGCCCACATGCGTCGCACGAGCACAAAGGAGCGGTGGCTGCCAAGTTGCCTTGTTGGTTAGCGGGTCTTTCGGTCTGAAAGTACAAGCCTTCAACTGGGAAAGTCGCACAGGCCCCAACCAAGAATGAAGCTCAAGTTATGCAAGCATGGCTGTTCTCTATAACTAGCTGTAAAAAAGTAAGCTACGTTGCTGTGACAAATCTTTCCATCAGGGTTGAAGCCCTAGTCAAAGCAACCAAAAGTGTTGAATAGCGACTCCAAGCAATGCCAGCACCTTTAGAGACACAATGATCGCCTTGACAAACATGAGAGGCCCTGGAAACCTATTCGCTTAACACTTCTCTTTGTTCCCCAAGACTGAGGTTGTAATACTGAGTCCTGGCGCTGCAATCGAAGCTGGGCATTGGCTGCGAACATCGCATCCTTTCAATGCGGCAAGCGGCTGCTTCCACCATCAATCCTGACGCAAACGCCATCAAACGCCAACGTGTACTCACGTAGATGGCTCACCTGGATCCAGAGAGCACACGTGGGTTTGCGGATCTTGCAAATGGGCCCTGTCACAGGGCCCGAAAAAACTTAGGCCGTCGGCATGGCCCAAACACTGCAAGCCCTGGAAGCCCCAAGCGCCCGGAAGCCGTATGTCCCGAAAGAACATGTCCTTAGGCGTGAGTACATTGAAACGCGTGGCAGGGCTGGCAGGCCGCTTTCATTGCTAGCGCAACGTTATGCCAGCCTTGTGAAATTGCAGGAATTAATGCAACACTTGAGCAAGTAAGTCAGAAGAAGATGTCAACTCCACAGCACAGCACACGTTCCGGCTGCAAGCTGATGGGAAACACGCGGAGACAAACAACGAAGAAAGAAAACCCAACACGGGAGAGCGCAATGCCGCAATCATACACACTAGATAAGGATAGAATAGAAGCGCCGCATATCCGGTGACCGTTGCAGTCTGTCAATTTGCTTTGCTCTTGAAAGGAGTAAAAGAGACAAGACTGGTTGGGCAGCCCCCAAGAAATGTGACGGCTTCCTTGGGCAAATCATGAAATCCGAAACGAGAAAGGGTGAAAAGGCCTGGCAACATTTACCTGAGTGTATCATCTGGCACTGGAACGAACACTTGACTGCTTTACAGGCTGAGAAAGGACCGTCAAATGAACAATCACTAGTTCGTCTCTACCACGGTTGAACCCTCCAGACCTTTTTGTCGGGCCTTTTTCGTAAGGAGCCAACTGAAGTAACTGGAAACATATCGAAACATGCCACACTCTGAGTGGACCCCTGTGCGATGCTGCCCAGGCTTGCTTCGATGCAGGAAAACATCGCTGGCACCGCGTTGAAGACATAGATGCCCTTCGTGGGGCTCCTTTGTACCACATGCCCTCAGAATATGTTTAAGGTTTGGGCGGATGTGTTTAAGGTTTGGGGCTGAGGGTTTGCCCTCCAACCGCGCACCTTTTGGGCGCTGCTTCGGGGAGAAAGAGTGCTTTTTCGTGCTAGAACCAGGCGCTGCAGCGCCACACGCATGTCAGAAGCAAACATGTTGCACACCAGCACTTTGATTTGATTTGAATTGCGATTGCGCTCGCATGGCTCAGAAACTGCTGCGCACAAAGTTTGTCAGAAACCGTGACCAACGTCGATCGCTTGAGCGATCAAGAGCCGCCAACCCCTTAAAACGATTTGGAAGTTCCGGCCTGCTCAGGTCCGAAGTTCCTGAAGCCGCCAAGCCTGACCTGAAGAAGGCAGGTGCGCGCGTGCGCTCGAGAAAGGGTGCCTTTGATCCTGCAGGAGTGGCTGCCCAAATTTGGGGCCATGGGCTCATCGAACAAGCTGGCTGCCTACAAGCCGGGCTTCCCCGACACATCGCGATCTGTTGAGTCTTAATTGGGGCGGTGCCGTCATTGTCATATGCTTGCGGTTGATCCCTGAACATGCCCTTGATTCGGGGTAAATCCTCACTGTGGTCAATGCGGGTTGGTCCCTATTTGAGTTGATCCCGTAAATCATTACTTAAGTCGATCCCTCACTGTGTTGCAGTGTGTTGCCAAGCGCGTCTCTGATTGCATCTTCTTCTTTTGAAAAAAAAACACAAGCATCGACTCAAATCATGATTCAACCCGCAGTGAGGTTCAACACACAGTTTTGAAGCCATTGCTTCAGCGATCGATCTCAAAACGGTGAGCGACCAGCTCAAACAATACGCCGGCCTCCCACCAGCAACCGCGATCGACTCACATCATAGTGAGTGTCCAACTACAAACACGGTTCAACACCATCATGGAGCGAGGGTCCAACTCAACGCGTGGCTCAACTATCCAATTCAAATAATGGTTCAACAAGGCAAGGAGTCATAAAACTCAAATTCCGGCATTGTGTTGGAACCTGAGTTGAGTCATGTTTTGCTTGACACCTCCGCCCTGACTCATCGCTTGGGCTGACCCCTCGTTGCTTTTTAGAGTTTTGATTTGGCCACAAAACGTGAGTTTGCCCTTCATCGCTTTCCCTCCACCTGGAAGCTGCAGGGAAGTCGGTGGGAATTACGCAGCGGAACTGCAACGCGGCAGCCGATAAATACTAACTTGCCTCACAGGCACCATCGACTGTCCGACGCAAAAGGTTTTGCCAAGCCAAAATAGCCAGTCTGCCTGACTACCTGCAAACTTCGTTTTCGTCGCTAGCAACCCTTCTGGATGAACGAGCCCCATGGAGCTGTGTGGAAGCAAACATGTCTTGAAACAACGCTGCGCATGCCGCGGCTTTTACTTGCCTCTCAAACCAAGCCCACGCATCTTCGATGGCCACCTTGCCACCTGAAAGAAACACATGTGTGCCCAAGCACCATCCAATTCACGTGAGGAACGCAACAAACGAACCCAACTCAACAGGGTGCACGGCTCTGTTTACATTCACCTCCACACGCACATCCTTGCGCTGATGACCATGTCACCGTGCGTACACACACACACACGTATCATGCCTTATCTGCTTAACAACAGGAAACCTGCCATTGCTGCAATTGCTGGCATCATTCAGCCGCAAGCATAGACGAAACAACAAAATACATTGGTTGGAAGATCATCAGTATCTCAAACAGTTCCATGTGTTGGCACTCTGCTACTAGGACAAGTGTAAACGCGTGCTCCAGTGTGAAATATCCTCACCTGCTGAAGCCTAGCCAACACGCGCCTGCAACTTGCGATTCCTGGCCTGTCCAAGCTGTGGGAACTGGCCAACCTGTTGCAAGTCGTCTGCGGCAGGATTGGGATGTGCGAACAAACTGAAAACATATGTGCAATGATGTGGGCACAGGAAAAGTAATTAGCACACGACAGCAAGAAAGAACAAACGAACGCGGGCACGCGCCGCACAAGGGCATGAGGTTGCTTGCGCTTCTGCAGGGGAGCCTTGCAAAGCAGCAAACAGCGTGCAGTATCAGCAAAATTCTGCTCTCCGAGCTATATGGCAACTTGTTTGAGGCGCCATCTGTTGTCAGCCCAAGCTGATTCTCATGCCATCGGGCTTTGGCTTTGGAACGTTGCAAATGAGACTGCGACGGAACTATGTCGAGCACGCAATATCAACAACTTGATCACGTGTTCCATGCTTGACTGACCATCTCTCTATGCGAAAAAAAGGGGAGGGGGCACGCAACAACTACACGGCACAGGCACGGGCAAATCCTGCCTGTTTCAAACATACCCGAGATGCGACAAACAAAGCAGGACGAGAAATGGCCCATGAAAGTGAGAAATAGAGAGGGATTCACTGCTGCGACGTTCATTGGCATAGGGTAGACAATTGCAATGGAAGTTGAACGCACGCTTGGACCAAGGGATTTGCAATTGCAAAAAGTTATGGCTGTTGGACTCGCCAACTGTAGCACGCATGTTGGAGTGCGGGACTAGAAATGCGTTTCTGTTCCGATTGGGTTAGCAACATGTATCGTGGGGGAACAACGCGCAAGGAAGTTGTTTTAGAGATCGGCCCCCGCTGTTGCTTTCCTTGAACGCAAACAAACAGCAGTCGAAATGCAAAATGCATGGCTCGTAGGTAGTTTGCCGCAAACTCCAGCTGTGGCACAGGGGTGAAGCAAGGCTGACTGTGCAAAGGCATTTGCCACGGAGTCTTTTGAGCCAATGTGGGTGGCGGGAGGCTGTGGAGTTGGAACCGTCCAAGCCCGGCGTGTGACACAAAACACATCAACCGAGTGGCAGCCACGACCTCGCCTGCATCATCCGGGTGGCGACCGCACACGAAACGCCTGGGTAGCGACAAGCGCCAGCCTCAATGTTGAGCACTTGGCCTATCCACTTCGCTGCTCCTACACGGTATTCGTTTATGAGTGGAACCTCAATTGTTGTTTGCCATTTCCCAGCAGCTTCTGACAACTGTGTCCGACTTCTTCCGCTGCTCCAAACGATCATCTGAATGCAGCTGTCCTTATTGTGTTGTCGTTTCTTTGCAAGGGTTGGGGAAACCTGCCTGCTGCAAAGCGGGCATGGGTCGCCACGTCAAAGACGTCGCTAGCACCTGAGATCAAGCTACATGGATCCCAAAGCGTTGGACCAATACACGTCGGGCTCAGTCAACATTGCGGCCAAAAGCCCAAAGCTGAGGCACAGGTAGCAGGCCATGGCACATCGACTATTGAAACAGAGGATTTGGCAGAACAATCTGTCTCGCAACTTCATGCCCAGGCCAAGAGATCATCATCTGCACAAAACCTCTCAAAGGGCTAGACAGGGCAGGAACACAAATATTCCACGTCAAGAAAAATAGGCCTCCGGAATGAATGGGGGGCTGAACCGAGCTAGGAATGGGGGACGCTAAAAGCGAGAAAGGGCCCACAAAAAAGGGAAAGGCTAATGGTACAAATGTCTCCAACATGTCTCCAAAAGGCTTCGGGCGCAAACAGCATCCCAACACAAAGCAGCTGCCCACCAACTGCCAGGCTCGCCAGGCGAGCTCTCCCGGACGCCATGCTCTGCAGTGCTTGCGATAGCACCTTGCTACGCGCCTGGGCTACGATTTTCCGAGTCTTGAAGCTATTACCATGTTGCATGGCTGGTCAAAGTGTAGATCATCGTTGACAGAACAATGGAACTCCTTGCTCTCCCAAGGCCCCCAAGTACGAACTGAACCTCA